GAGCCCCCTGGGGGGGCAGCGGTGGGGGAGGCTGCAGAGCTCAGAAAGGGGGGCTCCTTGGAGAGGCTCACTCTAACTCATAGAGCACCCCAACGCCCCCCCTATGTGAGGAGCAAAGCGGGCAGGGCCCTGGCCGCCAGAGCAGCGTCCTCCACGGCCAGCCCACATCCGTCCTTCCCAGGAGCCCGCGGCCACAGCAAAACTCGGGGGGCTGAGGCCCCATCACGCCCCACTTCCCGGACTGCCCGGCTGAGCCTCTTGCCCCAGCGAGAGCGCAAGTCTCAGATGTTTGGTGAAGCGGTGGGGTCCCCGCTGTTTGGTGAAGCGGCAGGGTCCACACCCTGGCCCCCGCCTCCCTCCCTCATACCCTTCACAGGCCAGAGCCCGCCCTGCCTGCACCCCATGCTGGGGGGGCACATCTCTGGGCCCCTCTCCAGACCAGTGAGAAACTTGAACCCAAACATCCGAGAAACATAGCAAGCTCCAAATCAGTCAGCTCCAAAGAGACATACACCCAGATGGAGCTCATGAAACTGCTGAGGACGAGAGAAGTCATGTTTTAAAGAGAGAAGACAATTCTTCATGTTTTAAGGACCAACTGAACAGGTGAATTTTCATCACGAAAAAAAAAATTTTTAGAAAGAGGGAAGGCAGTAGAGTGACACATTGAAAATGCTAGAAGGAAAGGGTGTGCCCCTCAATTCTATATCCAACAAAACTACCCTGTAAAAGTGAATTGAAATAAAGACAAACCCAGATAAACAAAGACTAAAGAAATGCAGAGCCAGACAGCTGCTCCCCGGTACGGACCCAGGGGGCTGTGGTGGCCCTAAAGCAGAGGACAGGGGTTCTGTAGGGGACACAAAACAGCATCGGGCCATGGGCGAGGCGTAAAGAAAATATGGAATATTACTCAGCCTTTAAAAAGGAAGGACATCTGACACAGGCTGCAGCACGCACCTCGAGGACACTGTTCAGAATAAACTAGTCCCGGAGAGACGCACGCTGTGTGAGTCCCCTCAGCGCGGCGGCTGAGTGGCCCAGATCAGAGAGGCAGAAAGGAGGAGTGGGGTGCCGGGGCGGGGCGGGCAGGGAGTTGATATGAAGGGGTGGAGAGTTTCAGTCTAGTGGGATGAAGAATTCTGGGTGGGGGTGACAGCCGGTTTGGGTGAGTCACACCAGTGTGACGCACTGAACACTGCTGATCTACACGTAAGAGGGTGACGGCAAACATGGCTGTTACCTCATGGCCATCTTCCTCATGCACTGGCCACCGCCTCCTTCCCCACTGTCCTCATCCCATCAGCCCGCCCCCCCAAGGCTTCAGACTGGAAGGTGACCAGTCCTCACCTGTGGCTTGGCTCTCACCCTGGGGAGTGCGGCCTGGCTCCCCTCTGAGGTCACGATGACTGAGGACAGTGGCTCCTCCACCGTGGCTGTCCGCCGTGGCTGTGGAAGTGGCAAGAGCCGTGCCGTCTGGTTTTCAGCCCTGGGGTAGCTGCTGGGGCCCAGGGACGGTCCGCTTGACGAGGCGGCTGCATGTCCACCTGCGGCCCGAGAAGGGCGAGTTCGGGAAGGGCCCCCTTTCCAGCCCGCCCGCCCGCCAGGCTCCAGTCCCCGCGGGGGTCAGGTCTGCGCGGGGACCCCCGCCATCCCGCAGGACGCCACTCTCCCCTGCACAACTGTGGGCGACTCCCTGCTCCCTCCGGCCCACGAAACCGAGTCGGGCTGGTGTGAGGCTCGGCCGGGCGGGAGAGGCGATTGCCTGTCCGGCGAGTGCGTGGAGGCGACCGGCCGTGAGACCGAGACACATGTGGACTAACAACGTTTTCAAAGCCCTTCTCTTGATTTACACCCAAAAGAAAATATCACGAGGAGAATGAGTTTTCAACTCAAGTGGTACTTGCGCCTGCTCTCGCTAAATCAGCTCCTTGAACGGGGGCGCCGGCGCCTGCAATAACGATGATGTGCGCGGAGGACCGTGCCGTCCTCTCCAGAGCTCGGGGCTTCTGGGGTGCGCGAGGCCCTCGCCTGCTGGGGGCAGCGGGGTGACCGACGCGGAGGGGCAGCTGAGCCTTTCCCAGGCGCACTTGGCGGAGTCAGCGAATCTCAAAGTCAGGGCAAAGCTGGTGTCCCGAGTCCGAGGAGCCCGGAGACTCCCGGCCAGCAGCTGGGCGCCTGGGCTGTGGCTGCACTGAACCCCCATTGTGTGCCCAAGCCCAACGCCCAGGGGGACGGGGGTGAGCTGGGCCCACGAGGCCATGCTGGAGCCCATGACGGACCAGCGTCCTTCAAAGGAGGGGGGAGACGGAGCCCCTCCCTGCTGTACGGGGACGGGAGGGGGCTGCCCTCCCACAGCCTGGAAAAGCCCTCACCGGACACTGACCTGGGTCACCGGACAGTGACCTGGATCACCGGACACTGACCAGGGGTCACTGCGCACTGACCTGGGTTACCAGACTCTGACCTGGGTCACCGGAAACTGACCTGGGGTCACTGCACACTCTCCTGGGGTCACTGCACTCTGACCTGAGTCACCGGACACTGACCTGGGGTCCCTGCACACTGACCTGGGTTACCAGACTCTGACCTGGGTCACCGAAAACTGACCTGGGGTCACTGCACTCTCTCCTGGGGTCACTGCACTCTGACCTGAGTCACCGGACACTGACCTGGGGTCCCTGCACACTGACCAGGGTTACCAGACTCTGACCTGGGTCAGCGGACTCTGACCTGGATCACCGGACACTGACCTGGGGTCACTGCACTCTG